CCCGGCCCTCCCCGCCACCCGCCCGGGCGCCCCGCGGCCCCGGCGCCGCCTCGGAGCAGCCGGCCGCCAGCGCCGCACAGAACTTGCGAAACAACAAACAGCCCGACATGTCAGAGTCGGCGGCCGCGGGGCCCCCTTCCTCCCTCCAGAGCCTCAGGCCCGGCCCGGCCCGGGAGGGGAGGGGGCGCCGCCGCGACAACTTGATCCGGGCCCGCGCGCCACACACGCACACACGCGGGGCGCGCGCGCGCGCACACACACACACACACACACACACACACACACACACACATCCTGACACCGCCCCCTCGGGCGGCCCCGGGCCCCGGGCACACACTCGGCCACCGCCCAGGCGCGCACCACACTCGCAACATTCCTGGACACGCAGCCAGCACTCACGGACACACTCACACACTCACATCCGCTCCAGACACGCTCCTACACACGCATTCCCGGCACACTTGGCATTCACTCGGACCCACACAACCCCCGGCGGCGCACACCACCAACCCCAGACACTCCCACACGTACACATCGCGCACACAGCGCACCGACACACACGTTCCGGACCCGTTCCCACGCCTTCACACACGTACACGGACCTCACAAGCACACACACCACACACGCGTTCCCCGATCCACACGCGGGCGGAATCCACAGAGCACTCCGGGTCACACGCATAACACAAACACACAGCACACTCGCGGACACACAACAGGCAGCACCCCCTGCCACGATATACAAAATGCAAACAAATGCAACACATTCGCAGATACAACTCCGGCCACACAAGCAAACTCAGATACACACACACACAACCTACTTGGCCGCACAAACACTACACACTGGCAGGCGCACAAGACTGCACACCCAATGCCTCGATGCACACAACATTCACCCCAACACACTCGTAGACACACAACACACACAGCACCTTTTCATGCACACATAACTCACGGACACACAACACTCGCAAACACACAACACCCTGAGCACCCGATCGCACATCCAACACTCAGACACACAGAGAGCAGGCTCAGAGCGCTCGGTCACCTAACACTTAACACTTTCTTGAGAGCTACGCCACCGGCCCCGGGGGCTCCCTGGGCAAGCTTGGTCGGACCGACGCACGCTTACCTGCCGGAGTCTCAGTCTCAGGCGCGCAGAGCTGGAAGGTGAGCGCCAGGACCAGAGCCTGGGCGCGGACCATGGTGCGCCGCCGCCTGCCCCGGGGCTCGGCGCAGGGAGTTCCGCCGCCAGAGCCCGAGCCGAGCCCAGCCCGAGGCGAGCCGGAGCCGGAGCGAAGCGGCGCTGCGCGGAGCGGGACTGGCGCCGAGTCCAGAGCGGGAGCCCAAGCAAGCGGGGCGCTGACGTCAGGCCCGGCCGCGGGTTCCGCGGTCTTGCGGCGCCCCCTGCTGGCAGCCCCGCGCGCTGCAGCCGGTCGGGTCTCCGACCGCCCGGGTGCGCCCCTCCCCCACTCCTGCACACCCCTCTAGGGGGTCCGCGGCCTGGCCATGAGGCCCACCGGCCTCTACACTCACCCACGCCGACATTCTCAAGCCAGTACGCTCGCTGCTCACACTTAGATCTGGCACAGCGCTCTCGGGGACAAAAGACCCAAAGACGCCCTGCTTCTCTGTCCTCTTTGATGCTTGAATCCCCTCCTACCTAGCTAGACCCCTCCAAATGCACATTCACGCATACCTCCAAGGACAGAGTGCTCATCGCCTAACAAAACCAGATGGTTGGGTCTTTGGAAACGCTGGCTTTTAAAGTTGTTCTAAGTATTCCTTTATTATCCTTTTAATATCCATGGGTCTGTAGTGATGTCCCCTCTTTCATTTCTGCTATTAGTAATTTATGTCCTCTCTCCTTTTCTTAGCCTGATGAGAGGCTTATTGATTTATTGATCTTTTCAAAGAACCAGCTTTTGGTGGAGATGATTTTTCTCTTCTGGTTTCCTGTTTTCAATTCAACGGATTTCTGCTCTAATTTTTTCTTTCTTCTGCTTCCTTTGGATTTAATTCGTTCACCTTTTTCTAGTTTCCTAAGGTGGAAGCTTAACTGATTGATTTAGATCTTTCTTCCTTTCTAATATATTCATTCAGTGCTATAAATTTCCCTCTAAGCACTGCTTTTACTGCATCCCATAAATTTCTATAAGTTGTGTTTTCATTTTCATTAAGTTTAAAATGTTTTTTTTATTTCTCGACATTTCTTCTTTGATCTATGTGTTATTTTTTAAGACTTATTTATTTATTTACTTATTTGAGAGAGAGAGGGTGCATTTGCAGGGGCGAGGGACAGAGGGAGAGGAAGGGAGAGAATCCCAAGCAGACTCCACACTGAGCACAGAGCCTAATGAGGGGCTTGATCTCACAACCCTAAAATCATGACCTGAGCCAAAACCAAGAGTCAGACACTCAACCAACTGAGCCATCCAGGCGCCCCTGATCCATGTGTTATTTAAACTCCAAGGCATCTGGGGTTTTCCGGTTACCTTTCTGTTACTGATTCCTAGTTTAATTCCACTGCGGTCTGAGGGCAAGCATTGTATGAGTTCTAGTCTTTTAAAGTTAAGATGTGTTTTATGGCCCAGAATGTGGTCTCTCTTGGTGACTATCCCACATGAGCTTGAGAGGAATGTGTATTCTGCTGTTGCTGGATGGCATAGTCTATGGATGTCTATGATTGATGGTGTTGTTGAGTTCAACTATGTCCCTACTGATTTTCTGCCCGCTGATTCTGTCCATTTCTGACAGAGGAGTGTTGAAATCTCTAACTATGGATAGTGAATTCATCTATTTCTCCTCAAAATTCTGGCTTTTAGAAAATTATTCCTTTTCATGCCACAAAGTCTGCCTCCATCACTAATTCTCCTTACTCCTTGTCTACCTCTGGTTAAGTATATTTGGGCCTCTACCCAGTACAGGCCCTTGTACAATGATGTCAAACGCTGTCCATCACTGTGTCCAGACACCTTCAATGTGCTTTACCCACATGGACTCATCCTCACCACTCTTATTTATTATTCCCATTACACAGTTGAGGAAATTGAGGTACAGAGAGGTGACTTTTCCAAGGTTGTGCATTAGTATGTAGTGGCACCAGGATTTGAATCAAAGCCATCTGGCTTAACTTGAATGGAGGCTGAGACCTGCCTCCCATCTGGAGCAAATTAACAATACCAGATAGTGATTCGTTTATTCAATAATTCCCATAAGCCAAGGTGGAAATATAAAACAAAAATTCTTACCCTCATAGAGCTTACATTCCAGTGGGAAAACAAGAACAATAAACAGCCATATAAGCAACTTCTCTGCTACATGAGACAGTGATAAACCACTGCTTCTGGTATTTGGGACAGAGATATACCAGAGAAATGGAGGGAGAAAGAGTGAGGGGAGAAGAGATTATTGCAGTTTTATTTATTTTTGTTTTGTTTTGTTTTTAAAGATTTTATTTATTTTTGCAAGACAGAGAGAATGAGCATGAGCAGAGGGAGAAGCAGACTCCCTGCTGAGCAGGGAGCTCGATGGGGGACTCAATCCCAGGACCCTGGGATCGTGACCTGAGCCAGAGGCAGACACTTAACCAACTGAGCCACCCAGGCGCCTGATTATTGCGATTTTAAACAGAGCACCTACCATGTGACATATTCATTATTTTTTCTCACCCACCCACCCAGAACATGGACTCCCTAAGGGCAAGGATTTTGTCTTGTATCCCAGAGCTTGGTGTCTAATGTGTAGTCGATACTCAAAAAATACCTAATGGATAAATGAATGAATACAGACAGAGATGGTCTTTGCCCTCACGAGGTTTACACTCTCAGGGAAAAGACCAACAGCAAACATGCAAAATATGTCATCACAATCCAAGACGTGCAGTCTAAAGAAAATGTAAGGAATGTTGTGATAAATAATTAGGGGGGATCCTGAGTTAAGGAGATACGAGAGGGATTTCCTGAGTAAGGGATGTGGTACTATTTGAGCTGGGACCTGAAGTAAGAGGAGCCAGCAAATCCGTGGAGAGGGACACTGCGGCCAGAGCGGACAGCCTGGGCAAAAGCAGGAGTTGGTGCATTTGAGGAACAGCCAGGCCAGGGTGGTTGGAATGGAGTGGGGAGGAAGGGGAGCCAGATTCAGCTGGAGAGGCCAGCAGGATCTGCGGGGCATGCAGGGCACTATGGGGCTTTGGATTAAATCCTAAGAGTAGTAAGAAGCTATTGGAGCATTAAACAGAAGAGTAAAATCACTTAAAAAAAAAAACTTCAGATGAGCCAAGTGGAGAACAGACTGTGGAATCAGAGGGACCCAGGGGCAGATGGGTCTAACTCGTGGGCAGTGACACCAGCCAGAGCCTAGGAGTTCAAGGTCTATGTAGGCCTTCCCTGTGCACTGCCTCCACTGCAGGCTGGCTCCTCATCGAGGGTGGCACAAGTGAGGTTGGCCTGGGCCTGGAGGAGGCAGGGCGGAGGGCTTCTGAGCTTCTGGTCCTCTTTCTTATGAGCCCTGATGGGCAACATGCTGAGCTGGGGAAGTGGCCAAGGAGACAGGCAAGAACCAGAGGCAGAGAATTAGAGCGAGAATCACAAGGAGAAAGTCAGAAGCCAGAAAAAGGTGATGGGGAAGAAACAGACAGATGCTGGAGAGGGAAGAGACAAGAAGGACCAGCTAGAACAAGAAAGTCAAGGAGAGAAATCTGGTGAATAGAAGAAACAACCAAGGGTGATGCTGTTTGCAGAGGACTCTTGTGAGAGCTTCGTGACAGGAGTTTACCACTGATTCTATTTTCTTGCATGTGGACAATGAGGCTCAGAAAGTATGCGGCACTTGTCCACTTACCCACAAAACTAGTAAATGGTGGGCCCAGGATTCAAACCTAGACCTGGCCGACTCCACACCCCCTCTTGCTCTTCATGCAGGATAAGACTACAGGGTAGAGACTGTCATGGAGGGAGAAGGAGAACACGAGCAACAGGTGGACAGATGGACAGAGAACATTCCGCTTCACTTGAAAAAGATCACAGACTTCTAGAAGCCTTGAGTGGCCTGGTCTGACCTGCCCAAATCTAGGGGTAAAGGAGACAGCACCAAGGACAGGGATAGGCCGTGAGGAAATTCAATTACTTTCAACTCATGGAATATTTATGACACCTACCCTGGGCCAGGCCCCATATTGGGTGCTGGTGTCATGGAGATGCGCCATACATGACCCACTCTTGCCCAGAGGGGGAAGTGGACACATAAATAAATAAGGGACTGTGTCCTAAAGGCCATAACACCAATTCAGAGAAAACACAAAGGCAGCAAAGGTTGACTCAGCCTGGGGAGTTGGAAGACAACATCAAAGAAATGACATCTGAACCTGGAGTTTCCCAGGTAGGCAAGGCCGGAAGAGCACTTCAGGCAGAAGCAACCTGAATGAAGGCACAAGACATGGAATTGCTCAGAAAGGTGGGTATCAGGTGCTGTTGGATCATGAGCTACGCACAGTCTTACAGCAGGAGATAAAAACAGTGTAGGACGCAGAGTGCAGAGGGTAATGAAAACTGGACTTGAACCCCTCAACCAGTTCTCCAACAATGCCCCTGAGGAAACCTGGGTGCTCCTCAAGCTAAGCTGAGGGGTTCTGCCACTGAATTAAAACTATAGCCATCTTTTTCTAACTTGCAAGAAGATAACTTAATTACATTGAATAGAATTTTCTTTGTTTTACGGTGCTTTTCCTCCATGCACTTTTAGCATGGGGCAGTTGTGCGAGAGAATAATAGAGTTAGTATAGAATCACAGTTTCATTTTGTTTTGTTTTGTTTTATAGTTTTAAGTTTAACATGTTAATAGTTCATGGTGTTCTACAAAGAACTGTGACTTCTGGATCTAAGTAATGGGGAGTCACAGAAGGACTTTAAGCAAGGAAAAGACAAAATCTGATCTTTCTGTTTTAAAAAAAATCATTCTGGAGGTGTCTGGCTGGCTTAGTCGGTAGAGCATGCAACTCTTGATCTCAAGGTTATAAGTTCTAGCCCCACGTTAGGTGTAGAGCTTACTTAAAAATAAAATATTTTTAAAAAATCATTCTGGAGGCCTGAGAAAGAAGGAAATGGGAGGGAAAGAGACAGGAGAGGATTTCAGCTAGGAAGAAGGCTGCTGACACAGTTGATGTCCTGGACTGAAAGTGGGAGCTATTGGGATGAACAGGGGGATTAAGTCCAGCCTCCAGGAGGAAGACCTACTAGATGATTCTCCAGGCTTTCCAGCCAGGCTGTCCAGGATATTCAGAGGAGCCAATTTGGTAGAGAAGGTAATGTCAACAGCCCAATGTCACCTAGAGAGTCTTCAGCAGAAGTAGATCTGTGAAAACAGAAGGTAAGCAAAACTGGGTATTGTGTGTGTGTGTGTGTGCACATGCACACGGGCACTCACATACAAGTGTGTGTGAATCTTTCCCCCATCATGGGACATCTACTTTCTCTAATAATAAGAACAAGTATAAACATTTTTCAGCACATAGTATGAGCCAGACCCTAGTCTGGATGTTTTACAAATGATATTTCTCATTTAATCATCACAATAACCTAATAACATTTATCAAATGCTTTCATGTGCCAAGCATTGTGCTAAATGCTTCAAGTGAATAATAGCTCACTTGATTTTCACAACAGCCTTGAAACAAATACCATTATCTCCTTCATTTTCAGGATAAGGAAATGGAGACCCAGAGAGGCCAAGTGACTTGTCCAAAATCAAATGGCTGGGAAAATGGCAGAGCCAAGCCTCAAAGCCAGTTTTGCCAAAATCCAACCACCTGCAGCTTTTGTCAGAGCACTTTGCTTTCTTCTCCTCAGAGGAAAGGCTTTGAGCTGGCAGGCTTTGGGTCAACAAAATCTAGAGAAAGGAGAGAGAGAGAGAGAGAAAGGAGAAAAGAGAGAAAGGAGAGAGAAAAGAAAGAATAAAGAGAGAAAGGAACTCTTCTTTATTCTTCAAAGCCCTGGCTCAGTGTTTTTCTAAGCCTGTTTCTTGGGCCACCTGCATCAGAATATTCTTGAAAGCCTGTAGGAATTGTAGATTCCTGGACCTGTCCCCCAAATTCTAATTCAGTTGGCTTGAGATGGGACCTCAGGTTTATGCACACTGAAGATTTTGAGTGGGACAGGCTCCAACAGCACCTCTTGCAAGAACCCCCATCTCTACCCCGGCTCCTTCCAGAGCAACTTTCTCCTTCAGACTCCAACAGGGCCCTCTGTCCTGCTCTACCAACTAGGGTTTTAGCTATGTTCATGTCTCACCTCCACTAAAAATATGATCCAGTGTCTTACTGGGCTACCTCTTCTTACAAAGCACTTCCATTGTCCTATTAAATCCCTTCTACACTGTAAGCATTTTGAGAGGGGGGCCCCCCCTCCTTGTGATTCCTCCTTTATATCTGAACACACTTAGCATTTTACAGCGTGCTCTTCTGTCCACGACATTATTCTATTGTTTCATCCAATCCTCACCACAATCTTGAAGGAGGTATATTGTCCCCCCACTGTACCCATGAGAAAAGAGCCTGGGAGCTTCAGACACCAGCCCAAGGTGGCCAAGCTAGGTCGCAGCAGGACTGGGAGTTGAACCTAAATCCAAGCCCAGTACTCTTGCCTCCATATCAACTTAAATCTACTCTATTCAGTGGTAGGGAAGTAAACTTTACCTCCCTGTGCTGTTACAGGAGAGCAGGAAATAAATGAGGTGATGTCTTAAAAGGTCTGGCACAGTGAGCGCTCAATAAACGGTGGGGAGAAGAAAAAACTAAGGTCAGGGAAAGGTAAATGACTTCCCCCAAATCAAACACCAAATCGCAGACTGTAGACAGAGATCCAGGCCGGTCTCAGCCGCTCCTACTCGGAGTCTCCGCGACTCCCTCGCGTACTTCCAGCCCCTCATCTCACGCCCCTCCCCGCGCAGTCTCCCGAAGCGCCACCGCGCGGGCTGCGACGGAAGGGGACGGCCTTTTAAAAAAGAGCAAGGGGCGTGGTCACGCGACGGGGCGGGGCGGGGCGGGAGGCGCGGCGCAGACGCGCGGACGCGGGCCGATGACGTAGGCGCGCTGCCGGGCTCTGAGCTGTCTGGGGGAAGCATGTGGGGCTGCGGCGCGCTGCTGGGGGCGCGAGCCGGGTTGCGCCTGTGCCGCGAGCTGTTCCTCGCTTGGGACCGCGGCTGGTCTGCCGCGGCCCCCTACTCCGCATCTACCGAGCCCTCCCGGGTCCGGGCGCTGGTCTATGGGCACCACGGGGACCCAGCCAAGGTCGTCGAGTAAGAGACGGCGCCGAAACGGGGCCAGGGGCCAGGGGTTCCTGGAGGGGGTTAAGACGCGCTTTTGAAGAAGGGGGTCTGACAAAGGAGGGAGCGGGTAGAGGAAGAAGGCAGGGAATAACCGGACCCAAACTGAGCCCAGGGCGCTTTGAGTAGCTCAGAAAGTCTGTCCTTCCAGGTAGTTGAAGGCCGGAGAGGTACAATTATGACGGTAATAGTGGCTAACTTTTTTTTTTTGAGGTACAGTTGACATGCAATACTATATTAGATTTAGGTGTACAACATGATGACTCGATATATGTATATATTGCGAAATGATTGCCATATTAAGTCCAGTTAGTATCTGTCACCATACATAGATACAGAATTTTTTTTCTCTTGATGAGAACTTTCGAGATCTACTCTCTTAGCAACTCTCAAACATACAGTACAGTATTACTAACTGTAATTGCCAAACTGTACGTTAAGGCCCCATGATTTGCTTGTTTTATGACAGGAAATACCTTTTGACTCCCTTCACCCATTTGATGCCTATGTGACAAGCACGCATGCACACACACACCTGAGCACCAGTATGTTCTCTGTGTCAGTGAGTTGGTTTTTGTTGTTGTTGTTGTTTAGATTACACATGGAAGTGAGATCATTCAGTATTGGTCTTTCTCTGACTTATTTAATGTATCATAATGTTCTCAGCGTCCATCCCTGTTGTCTCAAGTGGCAAGATTTCATTCTTTATTATGGCTGAATAATATTCCATTATTTTATTTCTCTAGTATATAACATTATGGACATTATTCCACTACCTTATATATATACATGCCATTATACATGTGTATACCACATTTTCTTTATCCATTTATCCCTCAATGACTTTTACTGACCGGGTATTATGTGTCAGGCACATAATGGAGGTGTCCAAATGGATGCTCTCATTTAATCGTCACTTTTGGGGAAGGTACTTGATTTAGCCCCATTTCGTCAGTGAGAAAACTGAGGTGTAAGAGGGATAAAATCACTTGTCCAAGGTCACACAGCCAGTTAGTGGCAGAGTCGAAATTTAAACCCAGGTCTTACTGATTTGCCTGAGTTCCTAGGCTCTATTACTATTTTTGGTGGGGGGGGGAGTATTTTCTGAATGCTTTTATGTCCACTTGAATCTTCACTTCCCAGAAAGTAGGTGGGAGACCATTGTTTTCAGTTTGCAGAAGACAAGACAGGACTTGTCCAAAGTGATATTGCTAATAAGGATTAGAACAGGGACAGGAACCCATAGCTTCTACTCCTATCTCATGTGATTTCCTCTTTATCACACTATGTATGTGCCTTTAGCCAGTTAAAAAGAGTTCCTGTTTTGGAGCCTTACAGACCTAAGGTCAAATACAGACTCTACCTCTTAGTAGCTGTTTGATCTTAGACAAGTCACTCAGTCCCTCTGAGCCCTCATTACTTTTATGAATATGTTCTCCTAAAATTCTGTTGGATCTTAATCCATGATTTTTGCATGTGGTTGATAAAAACAGTATGTGAATTGTCAGCCGTTATAAATCTGCACATAAGTGACTATAACCATTCAGAAGGGCTAGTGGGGTCACTGTAATGGAGCTAAGGCAGAAGCACTGGTCTGGGAATCAGACCTGGAGTCCAGTCCTTACTCCATCCTAGCTCTGTGTGTTTGGCAGGTTACTGAAGTTCTCTGAGCCTCAGTTACATGATTATAAATGTGGACACAGTATAGGTATAGTTAATAGTGCTAAATAGCTGTGATCAATCTAATGCTCTCCACTGAAAAGTGCCTGCATACTCTCCTCCAATCCCTTGTTTACAACTCTCTGATCCCCAGCAAATGGTTTGGTTGTTTTCCAAAGGATAGGCAAACGTGGAATTATTTTTATGGCCGAAATATAGGCCAGAGTGCTCTCTTCAGCAACACATATGCTAAAAGTAGAATGATACAGAGATTAGCATGGTCCCTGCTCACGCAAGGGATGACACGCAAATTCATGAGGCATTCCATATTTTTCCTTTAAAAAAAAATTCAAGCCAGATGTTTTGACAGCTGGAGGAGATAAGCCTCAGTTAAATTCAGGGTCATGCACTCACCCTAGCCACATCCACCATGAGAAAATACTGAGAAGACACATCAGTCAGTAACCCTCAACTTGTATGTTAATCATAGGTAATGATCACTGTGTCAGGAAGACCTATCCTTGAGGACTGTACTGTAATGAGTTGGTAAATCTCTGACGAACACCATTTTCCAGGAACGCACCCCAAACAGGAATGATGTGGTGCCTGTCTCACAGGCTTCTACTTGGTTGGTAAAGGAACTGACACAAAACAAGTAATCCAAAAATGTTAATTATGAATCTAATTTCTATAAGAAGTGTTTTGTTTTTATTGAGTTCTGTGGTGATGAGGATGGGACCCTTTGGAAAGGCCTGGGAAGGTTAGGCAGCTGAGTGAAGTTGCCTCCTGATTCATTCCCTCCTCTTGGAGAGCCAGGGAATCTGGAACAGACTGGTCTGGTAGCAGATGCCACTTAGGGAAAAAAGAGGGCTCTCGTCTCCTTGTGTGGAACCCTAGTAATTTCCCAGAAGTTCAAAACATGATACTTTCATGCAGTATTCCTCAACCTTGGCTTCACACTGCGGTCACCTATGGCACTTTTACTCCATATTCCCAGATGCCTCCCCTGAGGTATTTAGTAGGTCTAGGATGGCCCTGAACATCTGTGTTTTTTTAAAACTCCCCAAGTGATTCTGATGCCCTGACCAGGGTTGAGAACCACTGCCCTTGTGGATACAGACTGTTAGGCAGGAGGTAATTCTCCCTCTGCCCCAGAAGAGTGGCTTTCCCTTCTGACCCAGATTCAGGCAACTTGACTTATTCGTGTATGGACTGAAGCCAGAGGCTGGGATTCTCTTCTTTGTAGTCATGTCTTTGGAGGTTTAGGGTAACCACGCTGTCACAGAAAGAATCAGGTGTCCTTTAAATATGCCAGTGACTGGGTGTGTGGGTCAGGTTACACCAGGCAGGGCCATGGAACCACTCAGAGCCTGAGCAGAGTGTTCCCCAAACTGGCAGAGTTTGTGGTGCTTGCACTGTGAAAAGCAGGGAGGAAATGAGGAACGGTCTGCTCGGGTCTGAGGGGTTGCAGAACTCCTCAGAATGAGACTTCCAGGGATCTCTGAATGTCCTTCTCTTCATTCCTGTTGGCCCCCAAACATTCCAGCTGGTCTATTAAGCCTTGTTCCCCCATCCCCTAGAGCTTTTTTCTCTTTCCCCCAAAATGAACTTGCCAAATAAGCACTTGGGCCTTTTTCATTTAAAGGTTTGAACTACTGGGGCGCCTGGGTGGCTCAGTCATTAAGCGTCTGCCTTCGGCTCAGGTCATGATCCCAGGGTCCTGGGATCTAGCCCCGCATCGGGCTCCCTGCTTGGCGGGAAGCCTGCTTCTCCCTGTTCCGCTCCCCCTGCTTGTGTTCCCTCTCTAGCTGGCTCTCTCTGTGTCAAATAAATAAATAAAATCTTTTAATAAAAAAAAGGGGGAACTTTATAAGCCATTCAGGTGAGCCCAAATCTTTATCCTCCATAGGAAGGGCAGCCCCACCCTGGGGAAGATGGTAGGAATGTTATTATCTTTCTGATCCCCTTTTCAAGATCCTGAAGCTTTGATAAAATAGCATCCTGGTCATCACGGCTTTCTTGCCTGCCTGCTGCCAGCTGCCAGCACAAAATGAAATGAAGCTGTGAAACCCTTGGACAAACCCATTCTGTCTTAGCCAGATGGGATTTAGGGGAGCAGGTAGTGAGGACCCAGGCTGTATGGGGTGTGAGTCCTCACTGTAGGACACTGTTTACTCTCAGGGGACTTCTTTTTACAGTTGATGTCAGTGTTTACAACCAAAACTCTATGCAGGTGACTTGGTTTTTAAACCAGAATTGTGATGCTTGGGGAAAAAAAACAGGATTTTGGTTTGGCACTCAGTTGAGAATTTGGATTTTGTTCATTTGTCTCTTGGAGCCCTTCATTATGGTCATTAGTTGAAGGAGGAGGGGACAGAACTCATTGATTTAGTAAGTTAGCCAGGAGTTATTCTTGGAGGGCCTACTATGTGCAAGGCAAGGCTGGGGATGCAAAGGTGAATAATCTGAGGTCTTTGCCCTTAAGGTACTCACACCTGAGTCCAGGAGATGGGTGACCATAGCCCAGTGAGACAAGTGCCATGTCAGGATATGTTTAGACTGCTGTGGACACCCAGAACAGGGGTATCTAAACCCCTCAGAATAGTCAGAATGCCTTCTCTGAAGCCACGAGGTCTAGATTGAGTCCCCTAGAAGATCAGGTGGGCCGTATATGAGGAAAAGTGTAGAAATGTTCCAAGCAGAGGCCCCTGCACATGTAAAAGCCCAGAGGGAAGAGAAAACCTGGTGTGTCTGATTAGCGAGTATTTATTGAGGGCCTACCATGCACTCAGTACGTGATCCTTGAAGGAGGTATCAGCTGCATCAGGCTCCGAGGGGACTAGCTTGAGATCACAGAATTCAGACTCAAGCTGGACTCCACATCCTGTAACACCTGTACATTACCTTCCCTCTGGACTTCACACTATGACTTGAGGGCCAAAACCCTGAGGGTGATACTCTGAAGTATCGTACACCAGACAGGAGTTTCCCCTATGTATGGAGTGTGGGAGGAGAGCTGCCCGCCCCCCACCAGTGCAACCCCAAGTTATTATGCTTGTCTGGCCCTCCTAGCAGCTGCTGCAGTTCTCTGGTGTGGCTCCAGGACTTCCCCACTCTGGAGGGGGTGACAAGAGAAGCAAAGATGCCATGAGGTTACTCTGTGGCTCAGGTTACTCTGTAGCTCAGGATGTGTCTTTGGGGACCCACCCGCAAGGGCACTGGCCTGGGTTCTGGTCCCCACTCTGCCACTCATTGTTAGAGTGAGGAAGTCACTCCAGTCTCCAGTCTTTTCAGTTATTCTTTGAGAAAATGAAGGGGTTGACCAGGGTCAGCAGTGGTAAAGAGGGGCACACATGCTGTCTCTCCCCCCACCCCATCTTCTGTGGCAATGACAAACCATCAAGCTCCGTATTCTATGTAACTCAAAATCTGTACATCTCTTTAACCCATTCTCCCCAAGAGACACTTTTTCCTGCCAAGACAAGGTGAGGCCTTGACATCCTTCTCCACATAATCCTGCAGCCACGGGAATGGATATGAGACTGAATGCCCTTTGATCCAGCAGTTGTCCAGCTCTGAGAGCTGTGAAACTGAGTAGACATTGGACTGTATGCCTGCCGGTGGTGGTTCTAGCAAACTCCAGGAAGCAGTGCTGCGACTAGAAATCAGGGGTCCTGGATACAAAATTTCACCAAGGGCCCCCTTTGCTCCTGGTTGGTATCGTAATTAGCAGCCCGCCAGGCAGAGGATGCATGGTCATCTTTGTACCTGTCAAAGAGACAAAAGCAGCTGCAGACAGGGACTCAATCTCCCTGCTGTGGCCCAGTCTTGTTCTTTGGATCAACAAGGTTAGGTCTCAGCAAACGAAGGAGCAGACTCTGCAGCTCCCTTCAGGCAAGTTTCCTGCTGTCAGCAGCTGCAGAATATTACAGGGCTTACAAGCTTACTGGTAATCTTAATTGAGAGAAAGTAGGGGATTGAGAAGGTAGAGAGAGGGTTTCTTTGCCAACCCTGTGTAGAAACTTCCAGAAGTTCCTCCAAGTCTCTAATTCCTTTCTGTTCAAAATGACTGTACTGACATGCCAGCAGTTCTGAACGGTGAGAGGGCAAGATTACTTTGAGGCCGGGAAGCCAGAAGAGGCACAGGGAGGCAAGTGGGTATGCCTAGCACACCGAGAGACATGGAGTGTATGAGCTTGGCTCGGGGAAAGAGCTTTCCCTGGGAGCCCAGGACTCCTTTAGAAGCCCCCTGCTGGGGGGGTGAGCTGTTACAAAGCTGCAAGCCAAAGAACTTCATTCTTCCACAATTCCCAGTGTGCCCTGCTTATTAATTTATTAATCAGATCTCCGGACAATGTACCCAGCACAGCAAGCATTTCAACAAACCACAGGACGCAGCTTGTTCGTGACCATGGGGATTGCAGACAGACTGGAGGGAGCCACGTAGGATGTAGGTTACCTTCACCCACTGCCCTATGGTGGACACACATTCTTGGCTCTCTGTAATGAGCAGGGTGAGAAAGTCTCTGTGGCCCATGACAGTCTCTCCCTGCTTATTCTTCCAGCTCAAATGATATTGATCAATTTGAGGTGATTGAGTAGAAGATGCAAGATAAGTACAAATGGTGGCTAATTAAATGCAGAAGGCGGGAAAGAGATCTTCGCAGAGCTGGCCAGTGCCTGCCTTACATAGCAAATAGAATTGAGCCAGTCCCCAGAGTACTGGCCTCTTTTTCCCCCATCTCAAAAGGCTCTTTCTTCTGCCCGCTTTTGTCTCCCTTGTAGTTCATATGGCATCACAGGTGTACAGCCTTGGCCTCAAAGGAGCCATTGTGACCTTATCCAGTCTGGGATCTGTTGAGTGAAGACAGTGGCATCCCTCCGAGTTGCATGGCGCCATTACACTCACAGGGGAAGGCCGTGAACAGTCCCGGGGAAGTGACTTGAGATCTAGCCAGACTGTGTTTGGGTGCCTCATTTGCACTCCAGAACACAGCCACCGGTTCCTTTGGTGAGTTTTTAAAAAAAAAAAAAGAAAGGAAGAAATTGCTATCATTACACCAGAGGTCCAACTCCTGGAATTCAGACTTGGCCCCCGTTTTCCTTCCTGTCTCGGCAGAATGGTATCCTTGACGACGCCGTTAGAACTATGTGCAGGAACAGCAGTGTCTGTGGTGTTAATGGCATTCCACGGGGCAGGCTGGGGCTGGTCTCCCTGGTGAGATGCAGCTGGACCAACACACCTCCCGCCGGGCAAGCAGCATGTGTCAGGGCTGCCCCTGCCCTCACCCACCTGTGTTTGCAGCTTCAGCTTTCCATCTCCTAGACCCTCATCCCTGCCCTGCTCTCCTTCCCTCCCACTGCTTTGAATTTCAGCCAGCACAGAGCAGCTAGGCTACCCAGAGGACAAAGAAGAGAACTGGGAGCAGGTCGTAGCCCGGTGCGGCACTTCTCGAACTGCTGTCTGGGGGCAGGCATGTATTCGGTGTGCCTTGAAAATAGTGTTCCCAGCTGAGTTAACTCTGGAAGCTCTGGATTACACAGAGGCACATGGGCTTTTTCCCCGATGACCTCTCCCAGCCTTTGTGACTCCGATGCACAGTCTGAATCTTCGGAAGGGCGATTAAGTAAGCAGCATATCTCAAACGTATTTTACCCCAGGGAAATACCTAATACCATCTCTCAGGATGGGAAGAGCACAAACAGTGTAAAGGAGGCCAGCTCAGTGTTCAACAGTCTGAGCTTCAGAGTCAAGCTTAAGATCAAGTTTTGCCACTTAACTAACAGTCTTACCTTAGGCAAGTTACTTCTGAGCTTCAATTTCCTATCTGTAATTGGGGTGATAACACCCTCCTGGTAGGTGTTTTGAGCACTAAACAGCATCATGTATATAAAATGTTAAGAACAATGCCTGGAGCTTAGTAAACTGTCAACATTAGTTGTCGTTTAATTGTTCAGCCTGATCACCCAAAATAAGGTGATCTGCCAGCCCGTTCTCCAGCTGCACACAGCTGGCTCACAGCTCTGTCTAGCCTGGAGTGCCCTCTGCCCCATACCATACTGCAAGGTGCCTGCTTCAAGCTCCAAATATAACACCTTCCTCCCCACCCCAAACCACTGTTCCTTCCTCCCTCTGTCAGCATCCAGTTGCCCACACCAGAAGCCTGGGAGCCATCAAAGACTAAGCCTCCCCCCCAAGTGACATCAATGGCATTTCTTGTTTAAGAGATTGCAGGTTATAAAAACCCCTCCATTCCCGTGGCTCCTGTCCAGACTGCACCTACTGCCCGGCCAGTTACCAAGTCAGATTCTTTGCCATTCTCTCTAGCAAGAAAGCCTGTCTTCCTCCCTCAGTCCACCCAGTAAACTGCTATCCTTCAAGCCCCAACTAAGGTACCATTCTTCCAAAGCCCAATTGCCAATCCTGCATTTTGTCCCTCGAGCTGCACGTCTTGCAGTGACCACGTCAAGCCCCCAGGCGAATTTGTTTTCTCTTTAAACCCCTTGGTTTGAGAGAGTACCTGACACCGAGTAGGACTGTCAGTAAATATTCATTGAGTTAAATTTACTTGAGTTTTACAAAAAGGTACTGTCTTCCTTTCAGTGATTCAGTGATTCTTTTCAAAGGAATCAACAGCTAATTGTTCCAAAGGATTCCTTGGCTATTTTGCCACTGATAACAGCTACCATCTCTTCAGCAGCTACTGTGTATCAGGTACTCTAGCAAATGCTTTATTTACATTAACTAATTTAATCCTGTGAGCTGGACTCTAGTGTTCTCCCCATTTCACAGATGAGTATTTTGAGGTTTATCTAATTGATAAATGACCAAGGCAGGATTCAAACCTATGCTTCTCCCTTCATCTGTGAACTGAGATCCACCAATATTCCCATCTTGACCGTGGTCATCTGGATCTTTAAAGTGTGATTTACTGCAAACCTGATCTGCACTCTCCTGTGAGGAAAAGAGCCATGGGTTTTGCTTAGACCAAACTCTCTTAAAGACAATCTCCATTTTTATTTGTAGTCCTTTAGCGTTCTTTTCCTAAACAGCCCAGAACCAGGAAGAGCCGAGTATAAGCCTTAGTAGCTAAATCCCTATGGCTCAAGCCTCTCCCCTGATTGCCTAAAAATGGCTGGCACTTTTATGCCACATTTTCTCTGTAGGGAGGAGAGTTGGGTAATTTCATTAGGAAATTGAGCACATTCTTGAGCACTGCTTTGGTCCCAGGCACTGTGCTAAACACTGAGTTCAGACTAAGGGTTCTCTGCCTTCCGGGAGCTCATAGCCAAGTGAGGAGACAATACACATGCACATTCTGACTATAAAACTGGAGGTTAGGTAGAAAGAGCCCTGAACTGAGTGTGAAAGACCTGGATCCAAATCCAAATTGGAATCTGCAACTCCAAAATCCAGAAAGTTCTACAAACTGACAGTTCTGTTTTGATTTTTGTTTCACAGCTCGTTTGGAGGGAAAACCTGATCTACAGTGAAGTTTTTATTTGGTCATTATTCATCCCACTTAGTGTGAATATTCATACATTTTGCTGCAGAAACAATGTGTCTGATCACAGAGTGCTGCCCCAACCCCGACAGGGGGTTGTAGATAATACGCGGTCTGAACTCTGACATTCTGACGTACATCTCACCCGCAGTTTTAGAAAAGGAATGTGAACTTAGACCTGTTGTGATCAATTGAAAGAAATGTATGAAAAGACTTCATGAACTAAACCGTGAAAAACTCAACGTAAGTTGGTCTTAAATGGTATAGTCACCCCTTCTGAGTAACGAGAGCACTGCAGATGGAGCAAGTGGTTTTCTTAGGACCAAGAGGGTCAGAAGATATTTTAAAGGGTGAATTGAATTTCTTGCTTCGTGGAGAAGCTGTGGAAAAGAAACTCTGGGCTGAGGGAAGAGCATGTCTTTAAGTAGCTTGAGCACGTGGACTGTGTCGGCTTGTATGATTATTTGTCACAATGTCAGAGAAAAGCAGTACAGATAATATGAAGGGGCAGCTAGTCTACAGTTCATTTGCTCTGGGCAGGATTTTTCTTGCAGACTTACACACGCGTTCAGAGAGAGACATCACGGTCAGGCTGATGGCTCTCTGCCCCACCTGCTGGGGAGATTGGGGAGCTGTGAACCCCTCTCCAGCTCCCCAGGAAGGTCCAGCAAGGATCACACCTGCACACCACTCCAGGCTGGTGCTCAGCTTGCCACTCTCTGCTTGGTCCACTTAGCCCCTTACCAGCTGGCTTCTCTGGCGTCAGACCACCAGGTTAAAATCAGATCAGCCACTGAGTACTTCTCATGGCCTTCAACAAGTTATTTACCTCTTTTGTGCCTTTGTTCCTCAGCCATAAAATCAGAATAATGGCAGAAAGCTGGCATGGAAAGCACTTCAGAGTGCCTCAGTGGTAAGCACTCAAACAGTAGTTATTATGATTATTGTTATTACAAGGACTCCCTTCCTCCAGCTGTGTATAAATACATACATTCCTTAATAGTTCCCTAAACAAGAAGGGCCCTTTATTCTTTCTGGCTTGGTCATAACTCCTTCCGAGTTAACTATTTTCTGTACAGTGTTTCTTTTTCAGTTTTTTGCAGCTGTTTCTCAGTCGCGATGAGGCATGGCCTCCCTCACTTTGGTCATGATCCAGTACAGGGACTCCCAGACTGGGGCCCTGAGATCCCCAGGGGTCCTTGGAGGCCATCAGGGGGATTCCCAGACTAACTTCAGGATGCTCATGCAGAGCACGGTAAATCAGAGTGCCGACTTTGAAAGCAGGGAAGCCCTGCCACTGACCAGTTCTCTTACCCTGTGCAAGTTTCATCATCTCGAGGAGCCTCCATTTCCTACTTGACAGAATGGGATTATCAGTACTTTCCTCACAAGAGAGTTACAGCTTAGATCAGAGCATATATTTAAAGCCCTTAGCACAGGACCTGATGTATGACAAATACCTCATAAATACCTGCCACCATTGTTACCACTATGAGTACAAGATGTTTCTTGAAAATCACATTTTTACCCCAAATGGAGCCTCAGGTATAATTAAAAGGTCAGATTTCTGCCAGAAGTGGATAGAATTACATCAGTTTAGTTCACTGACACTAATGCCTAATGACACTGGCCTAATGCTAAGAACCTCTGTGTGGCACTTATATGTGCCTTTGATAACTAAAACTGAAGAGGGTTATTACTTAACAAGTACATTTGGGCAGAGGGAAACGCTGCAAACATGGAGTCTTGGTGTGGAGAAAGAAAGGAGTCTCTGGTAATTAAAAGGTCACAGGGACCGCTGGTCTAGGATACCAGTCAGTATTTTTTGGAAGCTCTCCTTTTATTACACACACACACACACACACACACACACACACACACACTTTTTGGAAGCTCTCCTTTTATTACACACACACACACACTTTTTGGAAGCTCTCCTTTTATTACACACACACACACTTTTGGAAGCTCTCCTTTTATTACACACACACACACACACACACACACACACACACCCCTTATCACTGGGGCTCCCTCAAAAGCCCTTTAGCAGGTTTAACCCATTAACCAAAGTTCTAGTGCATAAAGGCGTTAGTCCCACTGTGTAGGGCCCATTGTGACCAGAGCCTTACCACATAGAAATCCCACCTGAAATGGGAGAAGCTCTTGGCAGTGAGCAAGTCCAAACAACCACCACCGCCCGCCTTTTTACAAAGGGAGAAACAGGCCTAGAGTTGGGAAGAAACTTGCCCATGGCGACACAGCCATCATGTGGTGGGGCTTCATACCTGAGACTCAGTGGTCCATCCAGCATCCCTTCTGACAGACCAGGATTCTAACCCAGAAGGGACATCCCCCCAGGGGGTGAATCATAGTCACACACGGAGTTCTTTCTGAACTATGTAGCACATCTTTCCATTTCCCTCACCCGCTCTGCAACTAACAGATATGTAAATAAAATTAAAAAGTGGAGAACAAATAAGCTAGCCCAGGGTGTCCCAGTTATGGTGGTCTATAAGAACTGCTTGGGCTGCCCCTTATCTTGAGATTCTGGTTCAGTAGGTCTGAGCTGGGGCCTGAGAATCTGCATTAGTAAGCACACCAGGTGATTGTGATAAGCAAGTTTTGGAAAACACAAGGCGAATCCAGGCCAGCAGAAGGTTTACTAGCTTCTGTCTTAGAATGGGCAAGGGGATTTCGAGGGTACTAGAGGTTTTCCACATGCAGTTAATGAGTTAACCCATAGCCTGTGCTAATTCCCTATAGCACCTTTCTCTCTTCTAACAACCCTAATCCCTGGGCACACAATGGCAGCTCAAAAATGTTGCTGCCTGACCTACTTTGGGGAGATGATTTGAGCAAAAGATGCCCTGTTTAGCCTGGGTGACATTAACATCTCTCTCTGGCTTTGTGCTTAGACTGAAGAACCTGGAGCTAGCTGCTGTGGGTGGATCAGACGTCCATGTGAAGATGCTGGCGGCCCCTATCAATCCATCTGACATAAATATGATCCAAGGTAACCTTGGTTTCTGGGGCTTATGTTAATTGGCTTTTTTGCTTAGCCGCCACCTTGTTTTCATCCTTCCTCAGGTGTGGGTGTGAAATTCCTGTGATTAGCAGCAGCTGCTCTCCAGATGAGCCCATCTGCAGACTACCAGTCCTCTCTGGCCTCCCTTCTCTGGAATGTGAGGCTTTTCAAGAGTTAGAAAGATTGCAGTGGGGAGTAAACCAACCACTGTGAGTGCCTGCGATATGGTGGGCTCATTTCATACAATATCTAATCCCCATAATAACCATGAACACTAAAAAATATTATCCCCTTTACAGATGAAGAAGCTAAGGCTCAGAGAGTCTGGTTAGTTACACAGCAGGTCAGAGGCAGAGCACAGATCGCACTTAGATCTGACTCCAAAGTTCATGCTCTTTCACTGCCCAGACTTCACAGGGTGACCCTCTGTGCTCTTCTCCCTTAGGAAATTATGGCCTCCTTCCCAAGCTGCCTGCTGTTGGAGGGAACGAAGGCGTTGGACAGGTGGTGGCAGTGGGCAGCAGTGTGACTGGGGTGAAGCCAGGAGACTGGGTGATTCCAGCCAGTGCCGGTTTGGGTGAGTTTCTCCAGGTGTCTGCAGCCTGTCTTTGTTCCAGATTGTATTTCACTTGCACTGGAAATGTTTGCTCATTGGCTCAGTGTGACTAAGCAATGCAGGGTTTATTAGTGAGTTCATATACCCACCACCAGTAGCAGTGGGAGCGGAACAGGAGAGCGGAAATTGTGTTTCTTCCACTCTGGAGGTAGTGGACCTGCTCTCTCATCTCTTTGGGCCTATGTTGATCAGAGCTGTGAATCCCTACATCCCTAAACCCCTGCTATAAGATACAGTGGGAAACCCAAATAAGACAGCCCCTGCCCTCCAGAAGGTTAAAATCTAATTGAAGAAATCTCCAAACTAGTAACCTCAATAAAGGGTGTGTTAGAAGTTCACGGGAAGCAGAGGGCACTTCTGGCTCCTCTCTGTGTGAATGCAAATGTGAGAGAGAAAGAGACAGTCTTAAGGAAGGATGAGGGCTTTGTGGAGGAGGCTTCTTTGGAATGGACCTTTGATGGATGGATTATGTTAGATGGAGATGAGCCAGAAATCGTTACATTTGGAGGAAATGAAATGAGCAAAGACACAGGTGACTGTGGGAAATGGTGAGAAATCCTGTGTAGCCTCAGCAGAGGATTTGCACATGGGAGAGGATTGCTTAAATGATGAACAAGATTACAAAGGTAGTGGGGCCACATGGGGGAGCCCTGCAAAAGCCAAGCTAAGGAGTTAGGGTTCTCTTTGATATCTAGTAAGGAGTCATTGATGAGTTTTGTGCCTTAGCACTTCAGTTTTTGAGGCACAAACATTATACAAAGGATCCTGACAGCAGCCACAGAGGGAAGCAGGGAAGAGACAGTATCTACCCTTTTGGACGTCTCAGGGACTGAAGCTCAAATTCAAACAGCAAACTGAAAGCCCACCAAAAATCTTGTCGCCACTGTTTTTCCCGCTATACTACAGTATTAGGATTCTCTGGGGTATCACAGAGAGTTGATTCAAACTTGGTGTATAAAAAAAGAAGAAGAAGAAGTTAATTGGTTGGGGTTAATTGGAACTTGGAAGTACAAGAGATGCAAGGCTTCAGGCACTGCTGGATCCAGGAACCCAGTGATATCAGAGCTCATTCTCTTGTTCTCACTAGTTCTCAGATGGAATCTTCCCACATAGTGCTGTAATAACATCAACAAATATTTATTGTCTACTCCCTTTGCACCTGGCACTGTTCTAAGCACTTTGTATATATTAACTCAGTTATTCCCACAACAGGAGGTAGATACGAGACAAATGTAAAATATTAAGCAACTTGCCCAAGGTCACCCAGCCAGTAAGTGGTGGAGGTGAGATTCAAACTGACTTTTCATAGATGGCCACCAGCATCCTGAGGTTTGCGTCATCCTAAGAACAAACAAATGAACACAGTCTGCCCAGCACAGGCATATCCATCTGCTAGCAGGACTCTGACCGGCCCTGCCTGGGTCTTTGCTGATCCATGAGCCCCGTCATTTCCAGCACTGTCACCACAAGCATCTTCACTGCAAGCATTTTCGTGGCATAACTAATTGGCCATAAGGCAACTTTGCTTTAAAAGATAAAATCATGAAAAATAAAAGCACGACATTCATTAAAAAGGACATCATGAAACATGAAAAATGAGTAACAAAAAAAGGACTTTATTGCAAAATACAAAATGTTGGAAGATATTCAAAATGTATAGTGTAGATCCATAGCAATACTGCACAAATACTGATTTTATTTCATGATCCACAAAAGGTACCTAAGCGCTTGTCTTCAAAGTCTTTTATTCCTAGTATCATACGATGTTTTTGCTTGTTGATTCATCTCCTGAATCGGTATCATGCTTTTTTTTTTTTTTTAAAAAGTCTTCCTTGATTAAAAGAGGTATCAGTTTCCAGATACTAGGATGCACGTTTGTAACTGGGCTTTGTATTATGTTGTGAAAGCCTTTTGCACTATTATCTGGTTTTGGCATATTGTCACATTTCTGTTGATAGATGTTCCTAAGTTCTCTGGGAAATGTGGGCTCAAAACTCTGTGCTAATGTATTGACCATTATGAGGGCTAAGGTTTATACAGTATAAAACGGAAGGGATGTGTCAATGGAGAAATGAAACCAAACTGTCAACCAGTAGATGAAACCAACAAACTGTCAAACCAAACTTTTTTTAACTTTTTATGGCAAAATTGCCTATGGCTAATGAATTATATGACAAAAATGCTTGTGGCAAAGATGCTTATGACCTAAAACCACCAGGGGTGTGGGGTTGGGCCACTCCAGTTGCCCCAGCTGAGTCTCTTGCCCACCCCTGTGGTTCAGAGGATGGGGCTTTGTGGTTGACAGCCTCAGAGGTTAGGAAGGAACAGTAAAAGAAAGGTACCAGGCAGGAAAAAACAGTAACAGAAGTCTACTAGAAGCTCTTTTCTTCTCTGAGATCAGAAAAGCTGCCAAGAAGGACGCCTGGGTGGCTCAGTCGGTTAAGCATCCAACTCTTGATTTCGGCTCAGGTCACAATCTTGGGGTGGTGAGATCAAGCCCTGTGTTGGGCTTTGCGCTGGGAATGGAGCCTGCTTGGGATTCTCTCTCTCCCTCTCCCTCTCCCTCTGCCCCTGCCCCTCCAAAAGAAAAGAAAAGTTGCCAAGAATGGCTCCACCCTCTCCTGCAGCCCCCCTGGCAGTGAAGGAGCCCAGCCATCTGAGCAGACAGCTGCAGGATTCACTGTATCAAGAGGGACTGGTGCTTTGCGCCAGCCCCTGTCTGACACAGTGTCTGCCCTCAAAGTGTTCTTGGCTGGGGATGGGGAACCCAGGAACAGAAAAACAACACTTAGCACAATACAATCTGGTAAGCACTGTAAAGAGAGGGTGGACACAAAGGCAAGAGTCCCCTGTCTTCGGAAGCATGAGAAGAGGCTTCCCAAAGAATTGGTGCCTGAACTCAGCCACCCTGTGGGCTAGGTGAGGAAGGGCTTCCAGGCAGGGGGTGCAGCGTGTGCAAAGGTGCGCGTGTGGGAGAAGGCATGGCACTGTCAGAACTGCAGGGGTGTGGCTGGGTCCTGACTGGCCCGAGGGAGACACCAGATGAGGCTGTAGAGGTAGGCGGGGGCCCAGTCATGGAGGGCACACATCTAGGGTCAGAGAGAGCCCGAGGAAGAGTTCAGAAGCATGAGTGGACCAGACGTGGGCAGTGCAGAGAATGCTCTGGAAAGGCAGAGGTTGGAGGCAGGAAGCCAGTAAGGAGGTGGCTAAACAGTTAAGGCTTCACATGAGAAGGGTCTGAACAAGGCAGTGCCATAGGGTCTGAGAAGACAGGTTAGAGTTAGGAGCTAAAGGAACAGAAGTCGGTCACTGGATTTGGAGAGAAGAATGAGGGGCGTCTGCCAGGGTTACGGGTAATCACACAGGTGGAGGAGGTGGGTGTCAGTCAGAATGGGATTTCTCCCTGGACAAAAGGTCAGTCTTTCCCACCAGGTGCATGCCAGTCAAAGAGCATGAGGATTTTATAATGGCTGGGACTGTCATCGACTCCATTTAGTCAGCAAGCATTTTGTGAGCCCCTGCCGTGTGCAGAGCTCTGGCACACGGCAGCGAACAGACATGGTCTTTCTTCTGGTGAAGGCTGCAGGTTAGTAAGAGTGACAGTCAGTAAACAGAGCAGTCCTCAACTGGCCAGACCTTGACCATCCTTCATGGTGCTGAGCTGTGCCCATAGCCAGCATTTCCCCACAGGCAGCCAGTCCCTAGGGAGACCAGGCCAGAGAATGTACAGACTGACTTTCTCATCGGACATGCTCAAAACCCTCCCGAGGCAGCACGGGGTGGGAGCAAGAGCATCGGCCTGGGAATCTCATTCCACCCCCGTGGGTGACCTTGTTGAAACCACAGCTACTTTGAGCCTCAGTGTCCTGATCTCTACAGTGCGGCTAACAGTCACTGCCTGGCATATCCCAACTCACTCGTGCAGCTCAGCTGAGGGAAGACACACAGGAATTTTGACAAATTAAATTTCCGTACGCACGAGATCAGGGTCAGCAAACTTTTTTTTTAAAGGGGCCAATTGTAAATATTTTCGGGTTTGCAGGCCACACTGCCTCTACTCAGCTCTGCCATCCTAAACAGCCATGGATAATACATAAGAAGTGAGCATGACTATGTTCCAATAAAACTTGGTTTAACAAAAACAGGTGGTAAACCAGGTTTGGCCCATGGCATAGTTTGCCGACCCCTGCATTGGGTGGTAGAGATGGTTAAGGGCCAGTTGCACAGGAGTGAGCAACAGGAGTCCTGAGAACTAGGACATGGGACTTAGGATCAGTAAAGAAAACCAAGGGACAGTCCACATCTACTGTGTACTAGGCACAGTGATCATTTGTACAAATGTCATTGCGTTTAATCTTCACACTATGACATGAGTGTCAGAAAAGGTGCAGTGATAATTCTAAGCCACACAAATCATGAATGGCAGAGCCGGGATTTTAAAACAGGTCCCCCACTCCAGGGTCTAAGAGTTTCTACTTTAAAACCCTGAAAGCTCTTGGGGCTGACCTTGGGCGCTACCCCCATCCCACCCAGGTTCTCTTGAGAAGAGGGTTAGGGACTGCCAAGCCCCAGAAATTCATGTCAAAGGCTGGATTTCCATTGTGGTGTCATCAAGGGGAATTAGAAAACACCCCTGATTTCACGCATAGAAGGCCCTGTAGTAAGTGTCTGGCGCTGAGTAGAGACGGTACATGTTGGCTAAGGTGAATGGGGGCCATGATTATGAAGATGGCAATGAAGATTTGAAAACCAGGCTGGGTGGAGCCCAGAGAATGCCCAGGTACCTCCTAGATTCCAAAGGAACCCTTCAGTTTTCCAGTGTCTTGTCTTCTCAGCCACAGATCTACTCTGGAACTGATACAGCCCTTAACAAAGTGTGTTTCTACCTCCTGTCTCTACTACCTGGTCCCTGAAGCCCACACTGTCTCTCCCCTCCTACAGCACAATTACTAGTTGCCTAGGCTGTCCCCTCCTCTCCATACCTGACCATGTGGTGCCAGGGTACAGTTCGAATCCCCAGCACACTCCGGAGCTTTGGAGGCATAGGCCAAAACCCCTGAGACCCACAGCCACCAGACCCTGAGCCAGCAAGGCTCCAGATAGTTTCTCTATTGACCTAGTGAGTACGTGGTGGAGCCAAGGCTTGAATCTGTGTCCTCCTCACCTCTGCTTTATACAGGATCCCGCCTGCATGGATGAGCACCTGTCAGATGGCAGGTTGTAACCCACTAGCAAAATCGATCTAGGGGGTTGCAAACAGGAATTTTTTTTTTTTTTTTTTTTTTTTTTTTTACTAAAATCGGAATAGAATCACACATCACACATAGTAGGGTAAATATTGTTCCATGAAACTTTGGTTTCTGTTACATGTATGTGTATGTATTTATATATGCGAATGTACTGAGTGACACCATAACTCATGGTTACTCCAGGTCAGGACTGTGAAAGTCTGGGTGACATTCCTCTAGCCCAGGCCACTTCAGCCATGGCCCAAGCCTGTCTTCCCATCACCCTCTGCCCTGCAGTCTCTATCCTCCCAGGTCTTTCTTCTGTCTGTCCTGCCTCAGAGCCTCTGCGTATGCTTTTTCCTCTCGCCAGAATGTTCTGGATGTACTCTTTGAGTGGCTGGTATCTGTATCCTTTAAATCTTGGCCCACACGTCCTCAGAAAAGCTGTCCCTGACCCCTATCTCGAATAATTCTCCCCAGTGTTATTTTCTGCCTCTATAATTTGTAGTTACTGTATCTGCTTGTCTGGTTTTTATGTGTTCTCCACTGGAATAAAACTCCATGAAAGGCAGGAATGCATCGGTGCTGTTCAGGCATCTGGCTCACAGTAGGTGCACGGTAAGTATCTGCAGATTGAAGGGGCAGCCCAGATTGGCCAGGAGACTTAGGGCAAGTCACTTTCTTGGTTTCCCGCCCTGTTGAATGAGGAGGTTAAACTCGATGCTCTAAGGGCCTTCTCAGCACTGATGTTTTACAATTCTTTTGTCTGCAACTGGAATGTGGGCTGGAGATTAATGATCATTTCTCTCCAGTTTACAGGAGTTTGTCATTTCCCTTCTTTCATTTGATTTGTGCAGCAGCTCTTAGAGGAGGCCAGTCAGGCTCTTCTTACCAGCGTCATTTACATATTAGGGTAACCAAAACTCAGTGACATAGGAATCTGCTCAACTAGCAGACCAGCGAAACCAGGTCCCAAACCTAGGCCTTTGACTTCTACTTTCATGCTTTTTTCCATAATACTACCCAAGTCAACCTGCCCTCGATGAGGAAAAGGAGGACTGAGCAGGAAAATGGGGGCTTTCGCAGCTTCCCTTGCCCATGTCATGATGTTACTCAGAGCCCAGTAGTTTCAGATCCTTAGCCACCTGCTGGGCAACATGAGCTACGTCTAATGGTAACTAATGTGGGAATAACAAAATCTACCTTACATAACTATCATGAAGATTCACAGAGATTCAAAAGGACTTCAAGATCTTCTTTTCTCTCTAAGTGGTTCTTGAAGGCTGACATCTTAGGCGCCCGTTTACTGAGGAGGGTGACGTGGGGCCAGGTGCGGAGAGGGATCCTGTCTCACTAGCCTGGACTCATCCCCTGACTCAGGAACCTGGCAGACAGAGGCTGTGTTCAGTGAGGAAGCACTGATCAGCATTCCGCGTGACCTCCCTCTTCAGAGTGCTGCCACCCTGAGTGTCAATCCCTGCACGGCCTACAGGATGTTGATGGACTTCGAGCAGCTGCAGCCAGGTAGGAGCCCACAGGTGCTGGGAGCAGGCTGGGATCTCCTGACTGGGATGGGACCCAAGTCCTGACCCTGAGACCATGGGAACTTACCAGTAAGGGGCTGAGAGGAAGACAGGCCCTGAACCTGGGTGAGTGAGTGGTGGTTGCTTTTGCTTTGTTAGCTTGGCTCCTAGAAAACATGCTGAGACCTCATGAGGAGAACACTCTGGATAACCGCTGAAGGATCGCATTCCCTAGAGCTTGGGATGGAATTCTGTCGTTCAGCAAAAACATGGAGCTGTGCTAAGCTCTGGGATACAAAGCCAGACAAGATAGACAGAGTGCCTGTGTTTTCAGTAAAATGCTGAACTTAGTAATTCCACTCAGCATTCATATGACACTTTCCAGTTCACATAAGTGCCTGTACATGCATTAAACCTTCAGAGCAGTGCAGTGAGGTTGGTATCATTGGTGGAGAGCTGAGGCCTCAGGCAGGAAACCTGGGTCTGAACCCCAGCTTCACCTCTCACTGTGAACTGATCTCTCAGATCATCAGATGCATCACCCATAAGGTGGAGAGTAAGGAGTTGTGCGGACTAATGGAGACACTGCAGCGCGACACTCAGCACAGTGCCTGGCACACAGCACAGTAACCCCGCACTACTTTAGTATTCTTCCTGTTCAGAAATGAGGAAACTGAGATCCAGAGAAGGAAACTGCTTACGTGAAATCACTCAGCAAGGAAATGACAAAGCCAGGTGTTCTATTCGGGGTTCCCTGAAAGCAGAGCCTGAGACAAGGACTGAGGGTGGACCGTTCGCAGGGGAGGTGATCCCAGGAAGCAGGAGGGAGGGGATGGGGAGAGCGAGATGGAAGGGGGAAAAGCCAGGGAAGGCTGGTTACCACTGTGGGCGAGCAGGGCTCAGTCTTGCTGGCAGGGGGCCTCTGAAGACCCTCATGGAACCCCCCTCACAATTAACCTTCCATTGACAGGAGGCTGGGCTCATCCCCATTGTTGGAGGGTCACCCTGCACACTGTGCATGTCCAGGGGCAAGAGAAACCGCCTAGTCTAGCTCTGCCATGCGGGTGTTGAAACAGAAGCAGAGATGTTGGAGCACGATCAGCTTAGGTAGCCACTACTGCTCGAGGCTAAAAACCAGTCCCAGCTTCCCGTAAAGAGAAATGTAGTTCCTCACAGCTGTGCCAGAGCGGTCCTGGGAGCCTTTGGTGGAAAAAGCCAGCAGGTGACCGGGGACCTTTGCCCAAGTCCTGGTGCAGGAGGCGTTGTAGTCACCTGCATCTCACCCCCTCAGGCCACCTCTGCTTTGGGCCGCAGCTGGACATCAGGGCATTCTGACACCACCCCACCTCAGGTGCCCATGGTGCATCTCCACTTGCCTGCCTCCGGGAAGGTGTGGCCTGGGCTAGATCAGTGTTATTCTAAATTGTCATACTGAGTCATAGTGAGAATTATGGTTTACATTGTAATCCAGTACATACACATGTGAGTATGTATGTAATGGAAACCAAAGTTTCATGGAGCAGTATTTACCCTACCTACATGTGGTGCACTATGTTCTTTTTAATTCTATTTGCTGGAATTTTAATTTAAAAAAATGCTTCTGCTTCTTGCAACCCACTAGGTTGATTTCATAACCACTAATGGGTGACAATCTATGTGCTGACTCCTGGCTACAGAGAATGGGCATTCTTCTTCCAGGAACTCCCCTGTCTGTAGCTCCAGATCCCTGCATTTCAGATCACATTTCTGGATAACAGAGCACCTTCCTGGACACAATGGCATCTGACTAATGAGGAGCATCCTGATTGGTACTCCCAGGACTCCTGTCTCATGGAGAGAAAACTGAGGTCATGACCTGTCCCATGTTACGGTCCGTTACAGTCAGTGAGAGAGCTGGGACTCACACCAGGTCCATCTCATTTCAGAGCCCATGTTTTCCCCAGCAGGCCACGCTGCCTCCCCCATTGGCAGCTTCCAAAGCCAGGCCTGGGCTTTCACCACAGACTACCTGTAGGACCTGGTTTCTGGGGCTGCGAGTTTCTCCAGCACAGCTGTAAACCCATTTCAAGGCAGTGTGCCTGTACTAAGCAGCACAAAGGGGAAATAAAGCATGGCCGTGCCCTCAGGAAGCTCCAGGCTTCAGGCTTTTGCTAGAAATGGACCTATCCACAACCGGGTGTAAGATCAGGCACACCACCTGCAGAGCACTGGGGAAACACACACACACGGAAGTTGGGAAGGAAGCCATGCCTGAGCTGTGCTTCAAAGGGTATGTGGGATTTCAAAACGAAGGAAGAGAGAAAGAGGGAAACATTGCAAACCATGGAAATAACCTAAGCAGAGATTTGAGGACATAAAAATCAGGAGGATAATGAACGATATAAAATCATTTACACAGTGGGGTCTAAATTATGTACAGTGTGGACTCTGAGTTGCCAAGTCCCGGGAGGCACCATGGGTGTTGTGGAATTTTGGGGGGCATTGGGAGAAGAGTAAGTAACAGGTCTGAGAAAGCTCAGCAGCCAGGTCCTGGGTCATTTTGAGCCGGAGGACTCCCCTCTCTTGCCCTGTAATAGGATCCCAGGCAGGGAGTGCTTGACCTGTTACAGGTCTCTGGGGCTTAACTTGGATTTCTTCCTGGCTTCACAGGAGACTGTGTCATCCAGAATGCGTCCAACAGTGGAGTGGGGCAAGCAGTCATCCAGATCGCCGCGGCCCTGGGCCTGAGGACCGTCAATGTGGTCCGAGACAGGTGTGTGGGGAGACCTGATCCCAGTGCTCGCGACCTGGCCCTCCCCCTCACCATCCCCCCTAGATTCCTGCAGGCGCCCCTGGCTCCACCAGAGGGCGCCCGTGCATAAGCAGTCCTCCTCCGCGGCTGACGCACACCACTGGACCGTTGTCAAGCTGCCCGAAAGGAGGAGGCCCAGGCGGCCTCTGGCTGTAGGATGAGCGACATCTCAAATGTAAAGGGAGAGCAGGAAGGCGGTGGGCCCGCCCTTGCTGAAGACTTTTTGAGAGTTTTTGAGACTCTTGTGATAACCCATGATCTCAAAGCCCCAGTTCATATTTGGGAATGCCTAAAGCTGGGTTATCCCTACTGTGAACTGTCGAACCCAGGGCCCTTTCTCCCCTAGCGTCTGTGTGGCACTTTGAATGGCTCTAACTAGGGATGTGAAGGAGATGGGGCAGGTTTGGCATCTCTGTTTTACAGTGAGGAAACAAGTTTCAGAGAAAGGAAGACACAGTAAGTCAGTAACAGACTTAGCTCCTGGGCTCGTGCTCTTTCCACCCTACCATCCAGGTGCCTTAAGCCTCACTGTCAGTGAATGTGGCTACGTCTGTCATGGAAGTCCAGTCTTTGGAGGAGAATTGACATTCACTTCCCTTCCCTGTCCCTTCAGTTGTGTTAACAAAAATTACCGTTTGCCTTGGCCACAGAGGCCCAGAGCCCCTCGTGGGCTGGAGTGTGTTTGCACAACACCCTGAAGAGCCCCTTGAAAAGCGTGGGGGAAAGGAAATGAAGCTTGTTGTTTTGGTAGACAAAGTCAGGACGTGAAATGTCTCCCTGGGCCAGATGGTTTCTCGCACCTTGGAACTGGCAAGGGCTGTAGAAATCACCCCATAATACCACTGAGGGAACCGAGGCCTGGAGGTGTTGGGAGTGTGATGAAACCAGGTAGCCAGCCCCTACATAAGGCCTGGCTTACACTCAATCCCAGCTTCCCACAAAGGGAAACTCGTGTTCTCACAGCTGTGGCAGAAGGGTCTTACGAGCCTATGGTAGAGAAAGCCAGTAGGTGTGACCAAGGGCCATGGATTGTGTTTGGTTTCCAGACCTGACCTCCAGAAGCTGACTGACAGACTGAAGAGTCTAGGGGCTGAGCATGTTCTCACAGAAGAGGAGCTAAGAAAGCATGAGATGAAAAACTTCTTTAAGGTACCTAGGATGAGGGGCATTGTGTCTTCATTCCATGCTCATCTCCCTGGAGAAAGCTGACCTGCTAGAAAGACTGGGACTGGCCCAGCTCCTCTCCAAATCCTCTTTTTGTCTCTGTGGAAGGATAAAGCCCATTCCCTCAGCCAGGGGACAGCATGCATTAAGGGCCCAGGTGCTGTGAGGGAGGCAAGAGAGACAGACAAAGTTCACAAAACCCTGGATGATGTGTAGGTTTGAATATTTGTAGCGCGTCGCCTCAGCCCTCACAGCCAATGTGAATCTCCGAGCCAGGAGAGGACCTAGGGAACCCGAGGCACAGGGAGAGAAGAGAACGTATTTCTGAAGTACCCTCCTTATATTGTATCTGATTAATCCCCACAAAAGTTCCACAAAGTAGGTGCTATCTCTTTTCCAGGTGAGAAAACCAAGACTCAAAAGACATCAAGGATTTCACCAAGGGTAGACAGTTACAAGTGGTGGAGTCAGGGCTCTCTGAACTCACAGCCTCTTCACCTTCCAGAACCTCCACCCCCAGCACACCCAGTAGGTGACCAGACAACATCTCAGCCTCCTTCCTCTGAACCCTGGAGTGACCAAACACACACACTCTCTTGAGAGCACATGCCTCTTAAGAACGTTTCTGAAGCAGGAGATCAATACCTCCTACGTGAACTGAGTTGTAAGTGCAGAGAGAGGTGCACCCGGGGGACCCGAAGTCCTTCAAAAAGGAACATAGACACCCACCATCTGTTCTTTCCCAGAGACAAGTTTTGAACAAAATACCAAAACAGATAACAGGATTAAGTTGATAAAGCAAAGGTCCTCCTTGGGCCGAGTTTGAAGGCACGAACATCCCATTTTCTTCACCCCCTCCCTCTGACACAGCGCTTGGGCCAGGGGGGCACTGTTTGTAGCAAGCTTCCACCCGCCCTGCCCCCCGCAGCCCCCACCCCCCCTGTACAGCGGCAGCTCCCTCACTGCAGTTTCCTTATTTTCCAGGACATGCCCCCGCCGCGGCTTGCTCTCAACTGTGTTGGCGGGAAAAGCGCCACAGAGCTGCTGCGACACTTAGCGTAAGTCCCTCAGCCCTGCAGGCCCAGTTGGTCAGAGCTCTCCAGGCCTTTAGCTGGGAGGACTGTCACGTGACCACGTCCCAGTGGCCAGTGCAAGCCAAGGCCAAGTCAGCATAACCCTGAGCAGGAAGCTGGGACCACAGTCCTGCCCTGATTAGCCTGGCACCTCCTTTCCCAGGCTCCTCCTCTGTGGATGACCCCGAGAACCGTCCACTTTGCTTCTCCAAGGGACCCCGGAAGGAAAGCTTTCTGTGAGAGGGGAGTAGTGAAGGATTCATAACCGAGGGGGCATCTTAGGAAGTCCCTTAAAGTCCTAGCTTGTTAGCTTTTAAATTTCTTACTAGTTTTTAAAAAATAGATTCTAAGTTTAGAGGTAAAATTATGCTCTTACAAAACAATTTGAAAGCACGTAAAGGTACAAAGGATGGGGCGCCTGACAGGCTCAGTTGGTGGAGCATGCAACTCTTGACCTGAGGGTTGTAAGTTCAAGCCCCACGTGGGGTGTGGAGATTACTTAAAAAATAAAATCTTAAAAAAAAAAGTACAAAGGAAAAATTAAACACAAAAGTTACCTATCATCCCACAACCAAGGGGGATAAGCATTGTTGACAATATTAACAGCACATGTCCTCCCCTTGTTTTCTCTGTTAACATGAACTTCTTGAGCTGAGGGGTGCCTGAAAGGATACTTTCCAACTAAAGCAGGAATCCCCTCAACAACATTAGTTGACACATACTTGCTAGCACTCGCTAGCTACAGGGTAGAGAGATGGCTGAAACACTGAGGGAACTCTCTAGAATTCACAGGCTAGATGGGAAGATGGGTCATGTGGTCAGAGAGCTGTGATAGCCATCACTGGGCATTTACTCGTGTACCAGACTGCGCAGAGTGCCTGACTCATCCCCCACGACCACCCGGGCCTGGGATACTGTTCCCATCCCTATTTACACAAGGCCCGAAAGGGTAATTACCTCACCCCAAGGTCTTGGAAGTGGGAGAGCCAGGCTTAACCCCAAGTTACTGGGAGTCCTGAGCACACCCCCTCCGCCCGAGTCCAGGGGGCCCCAGGGCAGCCTGCCATCCCCACAGCACTCACTGTAGGAGGAGGCCCTGGAGGTGCCAAGTCCCAGCTGTGCTACTTACTAGCTGTGGGCCCGTGGGAAGTTAAACAATACAGGAAAAATCCTTCAGGCCCCAGTCTCCTCGTACAGATTAGTCAGAAGGTTAGTCCGAGGACACTGAGGTGATGCAGAAATCGTTACACAGGTGAGTGGTGGCCTTCAGTTTTCTCATTGTAAAGCCAGAGTGATAGAAGTGCTCTCCGGGGGTTATGGGGAGGCTTCACCAAGCCAATGCACGTGGAAATACTCAGATCTGTGCCCGGCACCCAGAAAACACCTAGTGAACGTTAGCCATTCTGGTTAGAACAAGTGTAGTACGGGGGTGGGGGGGGCTTGATCCCCCCAGGAACTACTTTCTGGACCAGGTGTCAGCTGAAGGGAGCTTAAGACCAAACTACCCACAAGCCTCCCAGACAGAATCACCTGCCTCACACCGCAGCTTCTTCGATTCTGTAGTTCACAAAGCACCCCCCACTCACCTGCCATCATCCTTGATCAGCAAACTCCTAAAAGAGCCAGGGAGTGGGGAGGGGAACACAGGTTAAGTCGAGCATGGGAAGTCCTAGCTTGTTCATTTTAAAAAAAACTATTCGAGCCTCTCCCGTTTAACTGCTGGGGTGGGTGTGGGTGTCAGACAGCAGGGCCTGGCCAGGGCCCTCCTGCAGCGAGAGGGCAGTTGCCCACTGTCCTCTACCCCAGCCATACCATTCCTTATGTGTATAGCCACCTCATCTCACTGCTCCTTCGAGTAAGCGTGAACAGGTGAAGAGCAGAGGTCTGCACCAATGTCTGTACTGCCCAAGGCCACACATCTAGGAGTGGAGGGTAGCCAGGACTAACCTCGCGGGGCTTGGGCTTTTTTCAGCAGAGCACGCTTCTTTGCAGTACTTCATCCAGGCCTGACTGGGTGGTTTGATCAGTGAGTTCCCAACTCTGGCTCAACATCCATATCATCTGGCAGGGGTGTTTGTCGGTTGGCTTGAATAGAGATCCTTGCTTCCTGATTCCTTAGGTCTGGGTTGGACCTCAGAGTCTGCAGTTTTTGAAAACCTTCCCAAGGATTCTAAGAGCAAGGTTCAGGGACCAGGGTTGGAATAGAAGTGTTCTGGCAGGTTTGAGAAGGGCTCTGTGTCTGCCTGCACCCACTCTGTTCTCTCTGGACTCTTCAGGCCTGGGGGAACCATGGTGACCTACGGGGGAATGGCCAAGCAGCCCGTCATAGCCTCTGTGGTAAGCTGGTGGGGGAAGCAGGCATGGACACAGGCCTGGACACCATAGTTGTCCAGACCCACAGGTGCCCTTGTCCCTGGACGGAGTCTGTACCTCAAGCAGTGCCTGAAATGCTTGCCCTCAGAGCCCCAGTTCATCCTTCTTGTACCCACAGAGCCAGCTCATTTTTAAGGATCTCAAACTTCGAGGCTTTTGGTTGTCCCAGTGGAAGAAGGACCACAGTCCAGGTGAGTGGATGATGACCCCATTGCCAAGGGTCACACGAGAGGGCAGTGCCTACTGCAGAAGTGACCGCCATCCTGAGGCCTAGAGGGGTGATGGGCTCCCCAGTGCCATGACAGGTTAAAGGAAAATAGTCTCTAGCCACAGCTGCAGTCAGCAGATAGGTACTGGGCTCGAGGGAGCTGGTCCTGGGGGTGGCAGCAGTGAGCAAGGCTGCCCCTGGGGAAGACTGCCATGGAAGACAGCCAGGTACAGAGAACAAACTCTGGAGCCAGCCTGCCTGGGTTCAAATCCTGCTCCCACCATCACTGGGGATAGGTTTACCCAGCCTAGCCATGGGACCTGGACAAGTTACTTAACTTCTGTCTCAGTTTAAATATCATAGTTGTCTAGATATTGTTGGCCTTTGATTGAGGAGGAAACTGAGGTTCAGAGTGGTTAGGTAGCTTGCCCAGTCTCCCCACGTAGGGAGTGATGCAGCCACAATGTAAACTCGTCTCTTTGACTCCAGAACCTGAGCCAGTACACCATCCTTCCCCTCCTGGAGGACTGGCTGCCCAGAGTGTGACCCCCCGCCCCAAGCTGAGACTGAAAAAACACATGGAGTCATTCAAGTGAAGGGGAGCAAAGTGGTGGCGTCAGTGGCGTGTTTCAGGCCAGAAGAGTAGCCTGTGCAAAAGCGCATCATAGAGAGTGGGGACCTAGACAGATAGGTTGTGACCAGATTATGAAAGGCTTTACAACCCTTCTTAAGGAGCTCAGACTCTATCTTAAAGGCAAGGGAAGAGCCACCGAAGCGTTCTAAACAGGGGACATGATTAGATTTGAATGTTACATGAATTGATGTCTATGAAAAAACACTTCTCATCTTCCTGGACCATAGAGGGGGACGGGCCCTGGGAGGGGATGCTGGGGACCTCAACTTGTGGGGTTCTAAGGGAGTCCTGAGCTCTTTCCCTGAGCAAAGCTCATCAGTTCCACATCAGCTGGCATGCCAGCACACCCACCCCCTCCTTGTGCCTCTTCTAGCTGCCCTGCCTCAAAGTACTCCTGCTGCTCCCACCATTCAGGACTCTCGGTTACACCCCAGTCAGGTTCTGTGGGTCTGAGCCCTCTTAGCCACCACTCTGCCTGGCCCTCGGTCCTGGGGCCACTCCCCCATGCTCCTCTGTCCTTACCCCACCAGGGACCAGGCCGCCTCCACAGCCTCCCTATCCCTGGTCAAGCCTGGGCTCTCGAGGCTTTCCTAGAGTTTAGCGTCAGCTTCTGCCACTGGGGGTGGCTCGTGGTCTGTCTTGCCGAGACCTGCCGCTGCGCCCCCGTCTGACTTCCTCAACTTCCCACAGCCCAGTTCAAGGAGCTGATCGTCACGCTGTGTGGTCTCATCAGCCGGGGCCAGCTCACAGCCCCCGCCTGCTCCGAGGTCCCACTGCAGGACTACCAGCGTGCCTTGGAAGCCTCAGTGCAGCCCTTCGTGTCTTCAAAGCAGATTCTCACCATGTGCTAATCGCGGAGGAGCGGAGCGAGGTGGGAGGGGAGATGGATCGGCAGGACTGGTTTCTGGCGCCTCCGTCAGGGCCCTCTCAGCCTTCCCCAGGCTGCCCTCTCCTCACTGTCACTTGCGACTGGGAGGGTTGTGAAGCCAGCCAAGGCTTTCCCCAGGGCCAGCCCCAGGGTATCTAATAAAGTGAACTTCCTAAAAACACATACATACAAACCCACAGAAGTCATCCCTGTCAAGAAGGACCCTCATTGTACACATGCCATTCCCCAGCACTGAGAAGACCCTTTGCCTGTCCTCTACTTGTCCCCCAGTGATGATTTCCTGACGGCCCTGAAACAAAGCAAGGGTGGGCACTGGCAGGTACAAAAGCCAGTAGGATGCAGTCTCCACCCTCAGGCTCTCCACAGGGGAGCAAAAAGGAACGTCTGATTCATTCTGTGTAGTATGTGGCTCAGTCTGGGGCCGGAGGAGGATCAGCTACATGGGAGAGTGAATGCCAGGCTGAGGAGCCAGGGAAATGGGGTCTCAGCTGGCTGGACCACCCTGTGGAATGCCTGTTCTACCTGGGGAGATGGTTGTTACGCCAGTGCTTCTCAGCCTGAAGTCATTTTACCCCCAGGGGATGTTTGACAGTGTCTGGAGACATTTTTTGGCATAATTGAGAGGGTGCTATTGGCATCTAGTGGGTAGAGGTCAGTGATGCTGCTCAGACATCCTGTGGTGCACACAACAGCCTTCCTCAACAAAGAATTACCCAGCCCAAAATGTCCATAGTGCCTGGGTTGGGAAACCCAGCATTAAGCTAAGAGTCCCAAAACAACTGCCATGGTTGTTGGGCTTAAACATGTGGGAGATTCGTGGGCTTAAACATGTGGGAGAAGTGCTATGAGGCCATCACTGATCAGGGTCTTGTCCTAGGCCTGCGGTCAGGGGAACCTTCCTGACATGAAGCTTGAAAGTGGGCTCTGAAAATGAATAGTTTTATTTAGACAAAAAGAGTTTGACATTATATGACTTCTTGGTGTTTGCCTAATGAGCTACTCACCCAGAGCAAAAAACTAGAGACTTTGGAATGTATTAACTGGATACCTAGTATGTGCCTAAGGCGAGGGATGCTCATGGTGGGGGAGGGGGGCCTGGCCCTCTAGTTGCTTAGCCCAGAGCAGGGAACAGACCTTCCCAGTATACTAATGAGGCCACTGACTCAGGTGTTCAGAGGGCCATGGGGACATAGCAGTTCTGCCTGAGGGTTTGAAGGAAGGCTTCATGGAGGAGGTGTCACCCACAGCAAATCTTGAAGGCCAAGCAGGAAAGCGTGTACCAAGCAAAAACAACAGCACATGTGAGAGTGTGGAAGGCTGGAAGCCTGGCTCTGCCGCCTGAGACGGGAGAGTGTGAGGACTGAGGTGGGAGCTGTGAGCAGAGGTCAGAGCAAGAAGATTCGAGAAGTCAGCACTTAACCTTCAGAGCGGGGGAGGCACAGAGGGATTTTCAGTAGCAGAGTGATGTGGGAAAACTGGCTCAGAAGGCCAGAGTGCACTCAGGCTTAGCAGCACGAAAACATGTACGCAGGCCCCCAGCATAATGCTCTTGCCTTTGGGAGCAACTTCTGTGTCCTCTGGAGAAAAGGACTTAGCTTCAGCCCAGGGTTGGGGAAGGTCTGCAGGTGTCTTCTGGATAATAGTTGCTACCTTTTGCACCTAGGCTCAAGATCAGCCCCAACCTGCCCAGGTCCCTCCTGTCCCCTGTCCTCTATCCTTGACATTAGTGGGACAGCTGCCTTGTACAGATGGTCAACATGGGCTAGTGAAAAAAGCCTGAGAGGGTGGGAGAGGCTGCCCAAAGGCTACAGGAGTGAACAGTTTAGGTTCTTCAGGGGGAGTCCACAATGTTGGGCTTAGGGGGAGTGATGAGCCTGCAGCCATGGGGAGGGAGCAACCCCTGGTACAGACTCAGAGGAGGCAGACTGGAAGGAGGAAGGTTCATAACACCATGGTTAGAGACCCCATGGAGGGATGTGCAAAATGTCCTGACAACAGTAGCTCTAGGGGTCTGGAGATGACATTTGGGCTGTGCTTTAAAGGATGATTATAGTTTTCTCAGGCAGGGAAGGGAGACAAGCATAAACTAAGGGGCCAGATTAAGCTAAGTTATAGAAGCAGGACATTTATGTTAGAATCTTCTCATTTCCCCCAAATATCCATTCTCTTTCTTAGAATGCTGACAACTTTTAGGTCAGCATATGGTAGGCTGGAATAAACAGTTTTCCTGCCTTCCTTGCAGCAGACAGGTCTGTCCCTTGTCATGCAAACAGAGGTGGTAGGTGTCAATTTCTTAAGAACCTCTTTAAAATATAGCTGGCATCCATCCAGTACCTTTTTCTTCCCTTTCCACCTTCCTCCTGGCTGGGACACAGACCCGATTCCTGGAATTCGCACAGCCATCTTTGATCATGTTAAGAATGGGTCAGCGACAAGATCCAAGAAGCCTGGGTCCCGGTCACCCAGATGCCCCAACTGCCCACCTCAGGATTTGTTTTACATGAGAAAGAAGCTTCTGTGTTATTTAGGTTCCTAGTATTTGGGCTTTCTCTGAACCTAATTATAACTGATAACATATTCTCTGATTTAATTTATATTGAAATCATTCAAGCTAAAGCTGAAAAAGTGAATTGTGGTAGTTTAGAATTCCCCAATAAAGAATTTGAACTTTATCCTACTGGCAGTAGGGAACAAAAGATTTCTGAGCCAGAAGATGAGAACTGTGCTTTGGGGGGGAAAAAAAATTCCTTTGGCAGCAGGTTAGGGGACAGTTGGGAGAAGGGAGGCACTAAAAGAAGAGATAACATCAGAATTCCCAGGTTTCTGAATTTCAAATAAGGAAAATCCCCTGAAACTTCAAAGACCAACATGGAGATTACCAACATTGCAGAGGCCAGCAAGGAGAGGAGACTGTGACAAGACCATAGAAAGAATCGAAGTTCAAATGGATCATCTCTTTGCACACTTTACAAGTATAGGAGGCTATTTTTCATTTTCAGGCTGAATAATTTCTCTGTAGAGTGGGGACAGCCCTTCAGGCCCACTAAGTAAACAGAATCCTTTTTAAATGGCTGGAGGAGGAACCTTGGGCTCCAGGAGACTGAAAGAAGACAAACAGGCATTACCTCCTAAACCAAAGCTCGAGCACACCTGACGCCCCAAGGCTTCGTGACTCTGGCGCTTGGTGTCTTCTGGAAGCATCCACCCTGCAACTACCTACAGCCACTGCCATAATATTGATGACTGCTTTGTGTCTTGGGAGATGAGATAAATAAGCCTGCTCTCCTCAGAGAAAGACTTGAGACCCACAAGGTTCTTGCATTCATCTGTGTGTGGCAGGCATGCCTGTCCTTGTGCCAGGAAGCTCTTGGCTGCACCTACCAGCCTCATACTTGTTGGTAGGCACTGTGCCCTGGGTAGGACAGTGGGCCCAGCCAGAGCAGCTGGAAATGGTAAAGAAGAGACTCAGGCCTGGGGCAGCATCTGCCTGCATTTGCAGGCAGGAAAATCCTGGGAAGACAGCAGAGCTGACCTAAAGGTAAGGAGACGTTCACACTGCCTGAAAGAAAAGTAAGCTTTCCCTATGCCCCTAACCCTTTGCAGTGTATAAGCCCTTTTACCCATATCTCCATTTGATTTTTACAACTTCCCTGTATCGAGATTTTAATTAATATAACTTTACAGAAGAGGAAGACACCAAGAGAGGCTAAGTGAGTTGCTCAAGGTCACACGGCAGGCAGCAAGCAGATTTCGCACGAGAAGCCAGCTCCCCTGACCCTGTCTGGTCACCCTACCAGTCAGTCCTGATTTTTTTTGGCCCCACAATTGGCCTTGTGCTCCCTCTTTGGACTCCTTGATTTTGTTCAGTGATAATTAGCATGTCAATCAGAAGAGAGTTCAAATTTCCCGGAGTCTGTGTCTCATGGGGAGGCAAGAAAAAGAATCAGGAGGGCATTGAAGTAATTCAGGTAAGAGATCATTTGTTTATTCACCTAATAAATATTTTGAACACCCACTATGTGAAAATCACTGTTATAGGTGTTAGGGATACAGTAGGAGCCGAAAAACACGGCCCCTGATACCAGGGAGCTTACATTCTAGTAGAAGAGAAAGACCATGAATAAGTGAAGAAATAAAGCGATTACAGAATGGGGGTAGATGCTGTGAAAGAAACAACAGAGTGATATCACAGTGGCGGGATACTTGAGATGAGGGCAAGGAAGGTCTGAGGCCTGAATAAGGAGCCAACCATATTGCAAAGGGAACAGCACAGTTAAAAGCCCTGACATATGAACGATTATGACAAGGCCTGCTGTGGATGGATTTGGCAACATTTAGAAGGAAGAATCAACAGGACAGACTAGATGTGGCGGTTGAAGGTTGAACTTTAGCACTTTGCTTGGATGGAAGGTGCCACTCCCTGAATTAGGAAACTGAAGGAGGAGCAGGATTTAAGAGACAGGCATTTCCCCTCTGCAGGGCTTTCAGTCCCATCTGTGTAACAGGTTGATCAGACTATATGACAACCAAGGTTAGAACCAGTTCTTAAGAATATTATCCTCAAACTACTGAATTCCAAATGGATCAAAGATTGCAATATAAAAATAAGTCCTAAAAATAATAAACCATGGGAGGTGTTTTTCTTTTTAAACCTCAAAGTGAGAAAAACTACAACACGAAATCCAGAATCAAAGAAAAATTAAGGATGGATAAATTTGACCCCATAAATATCTTACGTTTTTGCATAGCAGAAAACACTCTGGGCAAAGTCAAAAGTCAACAAACTGGGAAAAAATATTTGCAACTCATCTAACAACTGATTTCCCTAATATATAGTGAACTCCTATGAATCAATAAGAAAATGGGCAAAGGGGGAGCCTGGGTGGCTCAGTCAGTTAAACATCTGACTCTTGGTTTCAGCTCAGGTCATGATCTGGGGTAGTGAGATCAAGCTGAGCCCTGCATCGGGCTCTGAACTCAGCAGGGAGTCTGCTTGAGATTCTCTCCCTCTGCCCCTCACCGACCCCGCCCCCCCATCGGCTCTTGCATCCCTCTCTCTCAAATAAATAAATAACTCTAAAAGAGGGGGGCACCTGGGTCGCTCAGTCACTTGAGTGGCTGACTCTGAATTTTGGCTCAGGGTCCTGGAATCAAGCCCAGGCTC